TGGAAATCATAAGTCACAAGGAGTGGATGCATCTGCGCCACTGAGAACGATTTTGAGCCATGTCACCAATTGTTTCCAACGATAGATTTTTACCGTCCCGAGGACCCCAGCCAGGAAGTTTACACCTTCTTACGTGGCTTAGACTAACTGTTGTAGATTTCATTGACTGGTTCGGCCATGTTTTTGTTTGACCTCCTCTAGCTTTTTTCCAGCCTGACCCTATATCCGCTAACATTGCTCGTCGATGGAGGCGATGGCTTGACATACGTAACACATTTCCTAACCATCTCAGTCTTTGTAACTTCACGACTTCGTCGATTGATTTCCCCTGTTCACCTAGCACTCGACGCCTAACTTCAATGTTGCTCACCTTATTATGCTACTTTACACGGGAAATACAGCGCAGGCACCTATGATCAAAGACAGCTAGTCTTTTCATGTCTTCCACTCTCAGTGGCCAGGTCTCACAGCCATAAAGGAGGACGGAGCGGACTGATGAGCAGTACACCCACCCTTTGGTCGATAGTCGAACATCTCGTCTACGCCAGAGTCGGCGTAAACTGGCAAATGCGAAACGTGCCCCCTGTATTCGTGCTGAGATTTCGTCAGAGATCAACCCGTCGTCGGCTCTGGCTGATGGTACTTCCCAAATTAAGTGAAGCGGTCGACGTGCTCTACCACTTCACTTTCTATTTTTAAACTAGGCGTCGATGTAGTCCAGTCCTGTAACATCATCTTGCATTTGGCGGGAGCGAATCGCATACCAAACATTCGTAGATTGCTGCTCAAGGTGTTTAGAAGACTCTGCATTTTGTCAGAGTCGTCGCCTAGAAGGACTATATCGTCTGCATATTCTAAGTCGACGAGACTATTCCCTGGTAGCAAGTCAATCCCTGAGTCGCTGAAGTCACTTAGGGTTAAGTCCATTAGTACATGTATGATGAAGTTGAATAGAAAAGGGGATAATGGGTATCCTTGACGGACACCACTAGTCGTCACCAGTTCAGATGACAACTCGCCGTAAGCCCTCACCTGGCTGTATGAGAACGAGTTGAGTCCCTTAATCAGTGCAATATATTTATGTGCATCCTGAGTAAAACTCAGTCATCAAACTATTCACATTATTACATTACTTCTTTTTAACAACTATTTGCGACATCTCATCACCTTTGTTACTACCCTAATTTCATTAACACCTAATTTTCTTTACTGATTTTGTATTACATAACTCCACCCAAAACTGATTAATTCTCACCTGTTTAGTTACAATAACCATAACCAATTGATTCTGCTTGACAAACTTAATGTACACATATATATTTGCTATTGTACAGCTAAGGAAATGAGTTCACCAAAAAGAGACTCTTCGCTGAACTACGTGTTTTGTTTTCACAACAAAAGTGTTACTCTTTTTCTCGAAAGATCGGTGACCCCAGAAACATCAAATTTTCCTTCAAACTAGTGTATTCCATGACTGCGAAAAATGGTATTGTAATGAACAACGGTAAACAGTGATTTGAAAAACATCCAATGCATTGGTGGCACAGAGGTTAGGACTCTCGCCGACCATGCATATGGTCCGGGGTTCGATCCCCTACCTACGCACACCTGATACCAAATGGTCGGCCAGCAAAATTTGGGCTACCGATATCACATGCTGAAAATTCCACACTTCTACCAAAAATACGGTGTGGAATCAAGCTACATAAAAAAGATACATATTTTAATCGGTTGAGCTTAGAATGACTGTGCGATACTACTAAGGTTCGAACATCAGTAAAATTGGAATTCCGTACTGTAAATTGACTATGCAATCAAATTTTATTTTCTGCACTGAGAACTAAACTTAGTTTAAGTTTAACCACAAACTATATGTAAAGTTAAAGTATAACTAAAAATGTCTGATTACATAGTTATTGAAAATCCGACGTTTAATCGGCTAGTTTTGCCTATAATTCATTCAGTAAGCCTTAAACAAACGCACTACTGACACTACTTTAAACAAGGTGACGAATGAAATGTCGTGTTCAGATTTTCACGACGTTGCAGCTGTCGGCGTTAACATAAACATGATCGTCTTATTTAATCTTTCACGAGTTGGTTCTCACGATTATTTTTTTTCATTCAGAGGCATCGATACATATTAGTGAAGCAAAAATAACACTTTCGATCAAAAGGTACAGACTACTGGTCCTACTTTTCTCTTAAACAGTAATACTGGGATGACAGAGAATTGTTGGCTGTTTTCGTCCAAGTAAAGTGATGCAAAAGAAGCTATATCGTGTTTTCTTTTACTTCTAGTGTATTTTACTGAATGCAAGTATGACGTGTATGTCATCTTTGACCAAGTTAATCACAACTGAGACAAACTAATGGCTTCACCTTCCTTTGTGCTAAGTCTTCTCGTCAGCATAGCGCGTAACGAGGTAACTATGTTAGCTTATGGGAGTAATTAATGCCGGAAGATATCAGTATCCTAACACTGACTTCAGAAAAAAATTGTTAGGAAGTGATTTCATAGTTCACTAAAGACTTTTTCATTATATATCAGAAGTAGAATCAGAATTAAGCAAACTAAGTGCAGTTCACTGGAGCTTACGCGCACTTGGACTCCATAAAACCAAGGAATACACAGAATCCTTCTATTTTGAAATTCATTTAATCCGACTGCCGATTCTACCTGAATGATGGATTAAAATAAACTGGGAACAATAAATCTACCGATTTTGCGTGAATTAAAGTACATTTACGTACTGCTTAGTAAAACTGAACTGATTTTTGCCGTAATATAAAAGAAACGACATTAAACGTAAAATAATTATTCATAGATCGAAAATGTTACATCTAACAACAATTATTATAACCTAAGTGAACTACAGTCCAACAATTAAAGGACGACAACTGCTTTTGAAAACAGACAGCAAACGATCACAAAAATAAAGAGAGTGGGTGCACTTCAGTTGTCACCTAACCCCTTAGTAGTCGATTTCTACGACATGAGCTACGGTATATTTGTATTATTTCCTGATTTGAACCTAGGATAGTATATGCAAGGGAGTTCGGTAAACTGGAATTCAAATAAGATGAAGAGCGTAAGCAATGTTTAGTCAGGTGATCTTAGTGTCATCGAAAATGTCACCCACAAACAATTATGTACGATTACTTCGTTATATTTTCTACAAAACCATAGATTACTTAAGATCCAAGTAATATACAAACTGGTACCGGACGTCCTGAATATTGCATCAACGTGAAGGACTTTTACATACCACAGACAACCGAAGAGGAAGGTTGAGATGTAACTGTAGACGATGCGATAAACCCATTCAAATAGTAATGTCTTTAATTTTAGAAACTCGACTAGCTTTCAGGAGCAACCGGTGAATGCAGTCTCAGAGGATAAAAGTGAAAATAAAAGCCATTAATAAGCAGAAAATAAAGACAATATTCTAACTCAAACAAAAGCATATAATTACAAGGTACAGTTGTGTTGCAGAGGCAACTTTCATTACATTTTTAATATAAATACACCTAGGGCAGCAGCAAAAGTACAGTACATAGTGATAACTTGAGCACTTAGATAGGCTGAATCCAAGGTCAAAAAACAAGAGAAAGACAATCATCTATACATCACAAGTGACAATGGCTTCCAGAAACCATCACAATTTGAAAGGCACAACCAGTTATGAAACTGATCTGTTAAGTTAATTCGGAGCATAACTATTTAGTGATTGCCATCCAAATTAGTAGTATCTTGGATTTCTTCAGTTTTCGTACTAAAATTTACTTCCGACGACAATTCGTGACCCGTCCTTTGAGTACATTCATAGCCAGACACGTTGGAATGATTTGCCTCTGGCGACACACAACCAGTAGAAGAATGAGTCTTCTGCTTGTTACTTAAACTTTCAAGATACTCTCGTCTAGACTGCTCCATGACCATAGCAATTAAAGCATCTTCATCCATTCCTGCAAGAGAAAGAATAACATTTGCAGTGTAGCAAATGAATAATTAGTACACACTTATGAAACCGTAAATAAAGGACAACTAAAACATAGAATAACAAACCCATGATTAACTTATATTACATGGGAGATTTTTAATCAGACACATGTTTCTGCAGACCATAAAAACGAGGGAAATAAGGAATTAATTTGGGATTAGTCAAACAAAACTAATATCAAGGTTAGAAATCGTGGGCGAATACAGACAAAAAAGATATTTCCATAATGGTTCTCATTTTGCCCTATGTCATATATATATATATATATATATATATATATATATATATAAAAGAAAAGAAGACGTTCAGCAAAGAGACTCTTTTCGGCGAATTCATTCACTGAGCTGTACAATCGCATATATATACAAATTTGTTTGTGTGTGTGTACATTAGATTTATAAAGTTTAGATAATTATGTAATGTAAGTATTATTTGGCTTGGAGACAAACGTTAAGATAGACAATAAAAATAGAATTGATTAAGTGAATTGGATTACGTAATACAGTTGAGTAGAATTCAGAGTAGGTCAGGTTGGCAACAGTGTTAATGAGTGGTGGTTAAAATTAAATAAGGGTGGGGTTAGAGAATAATACAGTTGAAAATAAGTAAGTTAATCGAGTGACGTAACATAGTTGACTAGAAATTGGACGTGGGTCAAGTTAGCAACATTGTTAATGAGGGTAGAAATTACAAAAGGGTGGGGTAGAGAATAATATAAATGAAGATGTGAAATAATAAAATGAAAAAGACAAAATAATACAATTAGTAAGACTGAAATTAAGAAGGATTACGTCCATTGTAGATTTAATGAATGAACGAATTTCTTTTGTATGCAGAGTTCAGGATTTAGCAGATGGATTGCCATTGCTTCTGCGATGTGGAGAAGTTTGATCCGTACACTTTTAGCAAGATTGCCTTGTATTCTGTAGATAACTTTGAAGTTTGTTTCTGGTTTGACTTGGTGTCCAGAGTCGATCCTTGAACATTTGATCGACTCTGGACACCAAGTCAAACCAGAAACAAACTTCAAAGTTATCTACAGAATACAAGGCAATCTTGCTAAAAGTGTACGGATCAAACTTCTCCACATCGCAGAAGCAATGGCAATCCATCTGCTAAATCCTGAACTCTGCATACAAAAGAAATTCGTTCATTCATTAAATCTACAATGGACGTAATCCTTCTTAATTTCAGTCTTACTAATTGTATTATTTTGTCTTTTTCATTTTATTATTTCACATCTTCATTTATATTATTCTCTACCCCACCCTTTTGTAATTTCTACCCTCATTAACAATGTTGCTAACTTGACCCACGTCCAATTTCTAGTCAACTATGTTACGTCACTCGATTAACTTACTTATTTTCAACTGTATTATTCTCTAACCCCACCCTTATTTAATTTTAACCACCACTCATTAACACTGTTGCCAACCTGACCTACTCTGAATTCTACTCAACTGTATTACGTAATCCAATTCACTTAATCAATTCTATTTTTATTGTCTATCTTAACGTTTGTCTCCAAGCCAAATAATACTTACATTACATAATTATCTAAACTTTATAAATCTAATGTACACACACACAAACAAATTTGTATATATATGCGATTGTACAGCTCAGTGAATGAATTCGCCGAAAAGAGTCTCTTTGCTGAACGTCTTCTTTTCTTATATATATATATACTGCATTTTATTCTAAATACCGAGCTCTACAGTTTTTCGACTTAATATGCTGCATAATGGGGTAATTTTCGGGCTATATGTTAAACCAGAGATGATTAATTCATGCATAAACCCTAACTTATCTTCATACAAGCAAATAAGATACGCTAGGAATAGAAACGCAGTTAAGTAAAAAATGAAGTAATCACTGAGTAATGAGAAGTAACTATCAACTACATACTAACCAAACAAAGTAGCAAAACAACGTGAATTGAATACTTTGGTGTACCACACTAAAAGTGAACTAATTAAATTCCACGTCTTATCGCTGTAGTTGTCGAGCTAACTACCTACTGCAAGACATCTCACAATGACTATTAGGTATGCAGTTTTCCTGAATAAATAAAGTCAATAAAAAGTGCTCGAACGTGGTGAAAGGTGTACGTAATTGAGTGGAATTGTGCCTTGTTGGGACTTTCGAATCCGGCTCCATCTAATCTAGTTTGCTCAACTGAGTAGTATATTTAAGTCATGAACAGTAAGTGTAGCTTATGTCATGCTACATGAAAAAAACTGTTCAAGGTAACCGAGTTCACAAAGTATTTCAGGGAACATGAACATCCGCACATCTTATGAAAGCACACTGTAAGTGGCACTAAATGCATTAATGATATGGGTCATTATTGCTGAAAACTTGATTCAAAAGTTGAATGAAAGTGAAGCTACTAGTTACTCATATTTTAAATGGAATTTCTATCATACAAGTTATTTGATAACTGTGCTACAGTCGTATTTACAGACTTCTGATTCTCCAAAGCTCCATTACAAACGGTTAGAAGCAACAATTGTCATTGAGACTTAGTATCAAAATCACGTGGTTCTTGAGATTTATAATTCACAGGACTTTCAGACATACAATTTGAATGTGAAAGAGATATAATCGGGAACAGATTAGCATGCAGGCTTGTGTCAGCCCCTTCTGACTTCAATCAACTAGCAGCTTCAGATTTGGTTACAAAAAGAATAAAATACTACTTTCTCGAATGCAAGGGAATGTAAATTGGCCTTCAGCATGTATCATACTGCCCAAATGAAATGAAACCCTCCAACTTCACATTTTTCATCATAACACAATACTTTGTTAAAATTATTTGAATAAAAGGTTTTATTCTGGTTCACTCTGAGAAAGATTAACAGAATATTCGCCGAATAATCTACCCACGATTGAGGCCATAAGTCAAAATTACATGCCACATTTCATCTTTTCTGATCAGTTAATAACTCCATTCTTTCAAACGACCCTATGTATGAAGACTGTCAGAGATGGTAAAAAATATTCACCTATGCCACTGAACAGTATTATTAGCACTAGCACTGTGTGACTCAATCTAATACAAAAAAATATCCCAAGTGACTGAGTCGTAACAACAAAAGTAAAGTCAAGATTTCGAAAGTGGTAGTCAACTTAGCTGGTAAAAGCTCATTACTTTTGTGCAATTTTAACGGATTTAGTATGTAAAATTTATTTTATTCCTTTACGTTCCGAGCAGAACATGGGGCTTCAAGGTATACCTTTGAAGTTTCAGTAGCAATGGTGCTTTCCTACGGAGGTGGGTTGCTAGCCTCACGCCCAACCTTCCCTCTTTATCGGGCTTACAGCCAGCTAGGGAGAGGTGAAGATGTGCGCGTGACCGGTCTGTGAAATTAGGAAGCTCAAATGACAGGAAGTGAAGTCAAAGCCAAAAGAGATTATCGACGCAACTCAGCATTTCATGTTGATGGAGCTCATATGAAACACAAGTCGGTAGACATACACCTGCACATGCTGGTAACAGATTTATGACTGACATCTGCTGACGGTAGTGAAGACACTTGTTACCTAACTTCGAGGTTGAACACATTCCCACTAACGTATTCTTACTATATTCAGCTTTGTCTCTTTTATTTCTCATGTCTTTTGTGCATTGCTTCGACGTGTAGCAACTTTAAATGATGCAATTTTGTGTAAAGTTCTGTCATCCGTTAGATTACTTCAAACTTTATTCACGTATTACTTCGTAACAAATAAAGAGGTTAGTGTGTCACTATAAATTTATCCATAAAATGGCATTAAATGAGACAAAAAAAGGCAAATCCAGGGGACAAACGTGACATTAGGAGTGGAATGTGAAATCATTGCAAGTTGACGATAACGCCTCGTTTTTCTTAATTTATTTGATGTTACTTTTCCCTATCTTAAGGGACTGATATTGTGACTTCCATTTCCGTCTCTCACTTCCTAACTTCAACTCGGTACGCAAATGTTTCGCTTGGCTTTGCTGAGAGGTTTTATATTTCAATGTATACCTTCGATATGCTTCAAGTGGAATTCAGCAAAGGTCAGTAACATAGGAATACCTATGGCAAGGCATCAATGATGGCTTTCACGTATTTACTGCGAAAATTCGCGGCGATGCTCTCAGAGGAAAAGAATCTGAATATTAACGTTGCATTAGTCCTGATATTAAACTTACTGTACTTTTTTTCATGTTGCACCATATAGAACAGTGGGCTTGAAAGCCCATAATGCTCCTTGATTATCTAAGTTAGTTGCACGAAAGTATATTTAAGTGTGCTATAAAACTATGAAACTTATTAAAATTATCAAAAAAACACTTACAGTAAAAATGGTCACTTACCCAACATGCAAGGAGGAATATGACGCAATGTCATGTCACTTTGAGAATTAGACGAACTAGGTAATGGTTCTTTTGTAGACATATTGTTTTCACGAGTTTTTATATCTGGAACAGAGGCTTTTGATGAAGATGCTACATCGGAACTTTTTGTCAAATTCGCGGGAATTCTACAGTCCATTGATACTTTTTGACTGGGAAGTGCATCTGTACTTTCAGAAGCTGCGACGGAATTATTTGGATTTATCTTTTGGTTAACCTATTTATCACCGATTTTCAAAAGCAATAGTACAACACAATTCACGATCAGTAAATCAATTACTATGATGAATGATTGACAAGATATTACCGAAGTATCTCAAAACCAAGACTGCATTTTATGCGGCTCTTACAACCTGCATTATCTGTCCCATAGCAAACTTTAGGTACTATCAACAAAACGAACATGAAAACGTCAAGAAGAGCGTGTGCCACTCAGTTATGAATCTGAACTACCTAACTATAGATAAGTTGCACTTACAACTAGTCAAAAATTCAGATTAGGGGGAAAATCGGCGTGCCAACAACCGACTCATTAAGTGATGAGTTACAACCTAAATACACTTCGACGATGTTTTAGAATCTGTGGGATAGAGACCTCAGTACCATTATTAGACTAATGGATAACTTTAGACGATTTAAAAATCAACATAAAAATACAGGTCATCCACAACCTACAAATACATCAACTTGTGATTCACCTATATTGGTAGCTGATGACTACCTGACCGTTCAATTCCTCATCAAGAATTCGAAATGAGTTGTGACCCCGCTGTTAACTGAGAAATACATAACATAGTGTGTGACCAAGATATTACGACGGCATATTAGGGTAAAATGCCAATTGCGAGAATAACTAACTGTGGGAGAAGTTCAAAAGAAAAATGATGCACACACTTGCTGAACCTAAACTAATTTTCCGTCACTTATCCAGTCTCCAGAGATTTGCAGAACACAAACATTTGAGAGTCAAACCAAGCAAGAACCCGAATGGACCTCTACAAAATTCGTTTGAGCACGACTTTTGCAAATATTTCAACCAATGTAGTGCACTAAGGTAGGTAGAACTAACCGACAAACAACAGTGCTAAAATCTTATGAGCTCATAAACATCCTGTTTTCTCTTGGAATTTTAAAAATAAAAAACTAAGATTGAGATGATCTCAGCAAACCAACACTCCGATAAGTATACATTAATTCATCTGCTTGAAAATGCAGCTACGATAGTTGTGACCATTAAATAACACAATTCTGACAAAACGTACAGGCACTGAGATCTGCTGTAGGTAGTCGAAGTATGACTCCCGAACTGCTTGGTCTTCAATACATCTGTCAATAGCGTCTTGTTCTGTTTCAGCAAGCTTGTCGCGTAACATGGCTTCTTCGAGTTGTGTACTTTCAGACTCCCTTATGGCACGAGCAATGAGATCTGGTTCTGCCAACTGAAAGGAATAGATTAAACTATTTTAATGTGAACGTACGCCAGGTTGGTAGTTGGGCATACCAAGACCATGGCCAAACGAAGGATTGAAAGGATCAACTATGGAATTATAGTGAACTCGACCATGATAACTGAGCCTGATAGGAAATTCTTTTGAATAATCAGCGTGAAAGACATTGATGGGTTCCACTGAACTGTGATAAATTTCAACAGGTCTGTTATATAGTTCTGCGATTGCCTGAATCTCAACGTGATTCCCATAACAAGACACATCTCGTTTACGGGATATGTAATGATCAAAATCTTCAGTGAGATATTGTGAAAAGTGTTCTTTGTTTTTAATCTTGGGAAAACATAGGGAAAAAGTAATTGGTAAGTTACCATATACTCAATGACTTGGGAGCGTACGACATCATGCTTTTCTTCGTCACCAAAAATTTGATGGGCTGGGGACGTATTAGCAGGGAAACAGGAACTTACAAACACTGCGGAACAAACAAGCACCATCTGACGCAACCTTAATAATCTTCCATCCTTTCTTCTCTGCCAGTAGTCGCTCAAGACTATCGTCTGTAAGCTGAATCATCTCATATTATGTGGAAAATAGTCTAACCTGGATAGGGGAAGCTCTTCGAGGTTGTTTGCCGAAGTAGTATTCATCTTCACTATTGTTGCCGGAGGCATCATCCACAATAGTGGGTTGGGGTTTTACCTGACTTGTTTTATTTTCACGCACATGTGGCCTGCAGTCAGTGGGGCTGAGAGACTCGATTTGTTGGGATATGTGACGGGTTGGTGGATGATTAAAAGCTGAATGAGCTGGATAGAGAGACGAATCAACAGGAAAAGAGTAGGACAGTGGAGATCGTGGGGCTTCGATGTCTTGATTAATGTTGGACTCGATATGCACACAACGATGTCTATTGCGATGGGAAGCCATCTCTTTACGTTCTTCATTGTAAGGGTATGGTTTAAAGGCAAAGCTATGACGGCTGTTAGTGGAAGTCCCAGGAGGGTCTCTTTCGGACTTCACTCTATCTTTCCTATTCTTAATAGTCATTTCAGACTGTTTACAGGAGGGATATAGTGCAAGTTTTTCGATGATATCGTCAACAAGATTGTCCAGACGAGAATCCGAAAGATCGGAGTCACCAGACGCTTCCAGATCAGACCCGCTATCAGATGACAAACCGCCTTCAGACACCATTACATAGTAGCGCCATTACCCTCTCACTACAGAAAAGATTAGTTCCTCAAATAACTGCTGAAAATAAATTATTAAAACTCATAAACTGATAATTACTTACTTATGGTTGAAAAATAACGATCAGTAAACGGTAACGTTCAATGTACAATAGTACACTATGAATTTATCACAACAAAAATACAGACACATGATGATGAGGTTGTTCCGGTTCAATACAATCAAAACCGGATGACGGTACAAAGCATGAAAACTGTGTGAACATGTGGAGGGACACTAGAAAGTGATGGGGGCTGTGTATATAATAATAATTTATTTTCATATAAACATAAATTTACATGCATTTTCATGTAAATTTATGTTTATATGAAAATAAATTATTATTATTATTATTATATCAGTATCGGTAGGCATACATGCTCTGTGATCCGTTATTGAACTACGAAAAACTGAATCAGTTTAGATTTTTCGAAAATGCTGTGGTGGATCTCGGCATCAGCTTTATGAAGTGGTGGTAGTGGATGTTGAACCTACATTCATGAGTTAGATAATGTACGAACATTCTTGACTATTGGTAAATGAAAGATATTTGAGTTTCAGGAAAAATTCACGTCACTGATCTACAGACATGTCAAATGCACACTTGTGAAAACTGATGCCTCAAGATACCTAGGGTATTTAACAAGAGTGACAAGCTTCAGCGAGGCTTATGTACTCAAACTGGCAGACTGAAGAATCTAAGGTGTCACACAGCTATACTGTTTATTTGCCACTCAACGTAACTAAGGTTTGGCGTAGTTCAATGTAAATTCACAGCTTTCCTCTCCCATCCGTATTTGCCAAGATCACCCTATTGTAGATGACAACCAGTACAACAACACTCTCCCATCTTCCCTTTCGTGCAATTAGTGGTACTTCCTTCACTAAATAAGTGATATGCACATAATTCTCAACATTACCTATGTTTCATCTCTGCTTACCCAGAATCTATACTAGTGCTGAGGTTTCTATCCACTAGGGGATTGCAGCGGTAAATAATTCCCCAAAATTATCGACCATAAGAATCATCAGTGAACATTGGATGCTGACCCTTAGTGTTTAAGTCGACTTGTTTAGCTGAAGGCTTTCGGTCAACCATCCCCACCATTTGGTAATCTGTCGTGTCACTGTCGTGCACGATAACTAGCTAGCTTAGCTTCTGCTTCAATCCACAATTTGGTTCCGAAATATATATCGTAAGTCGGACAATCGATTGTGGTCTTTTGCTTTGCCTTTGGTACACGAGAACCAAATAAGTTAGGAGTTGTTGGTATGAAATCTTGCGTTAACATACTAAGTACTGTTCGCGAACGTCTATACCTTCAACCTTTAAACTGGTGAGCCCAACCGCGAACTTCATCTTCGATAAATACGCAGATAACCCCGGTGAGTTTGTTCCTTTCTGTATTTGTTCTTGTACTATATTTTATTCGACAAATTTCGTCATGAGTGATCCTGGTCCCAAGGTCATTCGTATTCGCTCAACGCCTAAAACCATTCGGCTCGTACCATACTGGCCAGATAATGCTGAAACGTGGTTTCAGATAGCTGAATCAGATTTTTGTGAGCATGGAATAACCGATCAACGTTCACAGTTCCTTGCAGTTACTCACACCCTACCGCAGGAATTCAGCAAGTGCGTAACTTTGCAGATGTCGAGTCCCTAGATAACTGACTCGTACGAGTTGCTCAAAGCATCCTTCCTCAGCAGAAACGTTCTCACGAACCGGCAACGTCTGGGGATCAGTTAGCCGTGAGCATGCTGAAAAGAATCAGAGAGGTTATTGGCCAAAGTCAGTTCCATGAAGGAGTTTTTAGAGAACTCATCTTATCCAGGCTGGCACAGTCCGTGCAGACTGTAATTTTGACACTTCAGGGTGTTCTTATGGATGATTTAGCTATTTCAGCAGACAAGATTCTACAAATAACTAAGCGGTCAGTTCCTGAAATATGCTCGGTGACCAAACAGACTTCGAGTAAGGGGCGAAGTTAAACTTTCGATACCACTAAGTACCAATCAGCGAATTATCCAATGAGGTTCACAAACGTAGTTCAATGTTGTATAGCGCTTGATTCATTTCAAATGCGTGCCCTTACAAGGTTACGGTTGCAATTCGTCTGGTGGTATCATAACTTTAAAAAGCTATAGCAGATCGAATGATGGATTTCTTCATCGTTGTGGTATATGTTTAAGCGTGCTAGTATTAGAGAGGGTAAGCTGATTATTTTAATATTTCCTAAGAACTTTTTTCACCAGGTCGCATCTCTCCCTAACGCAGATTTTACATATCTGCAACTACTGGGTGCTGAAACGGCCAGTGAGAGAAGCAGCAGCCGAGACGGAGAATAGCTTGGTCTCAACAGTCCAGTGGTACCAGCATTGCAGAGATATCGGATCATGGAAAATGGAGAAAATCACTTGTTTGCTCGGTGGAGAAGATGTTATCGTGCATATCGACGAAACAGTGCTGGCAAAAAAGAAATACAACCGTGGTGTCCAGCGAGCGAACAATATTTGGGTAATAGGTTTGTATGACAACTCCCTCCGAAAGGAATTCGTCGAAAGGATGGCAGGATAGGTTTTTTCTATAAATATACATTTCTGTTCATCATATGTGCCTCTTTAATGTGATTGGTCCGTTCAAGGTCGTTTGGTGATTGGTTGTTAGTGGTATCTAAAGTGTAACTTTGCCGAGTAAGGATACTGCAGTGACAGAGTTATGCAACTCCATCCAGAAGATGTTTAGGTCAAACGTTCCTTCTAACTCCTTCGACCGTCGTCCTAAATCCCTTCAATGCCAAAACTCACGTGGCCGATCAAAGTCCAAGCCACATTAAGGAGGGAGGGTGGCGTTAGCTGATCAGTAGATATGGTGGTGGTCACTAAGGTGAATCGCCCCATTCTGCAGGAACAGCAATATACAAATTAAAGGCTCGAGATATTTCTGATTTTTATGAGGGCTTAGATCTTTATCTTGAAAAAGATAATAGTGAACGCCTTGACAGATAATGCTTCTACCTTTAAATATATACCATTCGCTCAGCCTATTGTTGAGATGCGACCACGTGGGATCTGCACAGATTTATGGGGCATCTTATGAATTAACTTGCTATCCATTGTCAGATCTTTAAATACCACTTCACAATATCTTGTCTCACTTAATTTCTAATAACGTCTTTACTTGATTCTCATTATATTCCATTAAACCTAACATTTTATAGCTCTTTATGAATTTGATTCGACTTATTCTATTCCTATTCTCTGTAGGGTACGGTTGTGCACCAAATAGAAAACAAGACATGAAATAAAGACAACTGGCTTGAAAATAATTGTATTAAAGCCAAAAGTGAACGCATGATAGTACAAAATATATTGGTTTCATTATACATTGCAAATGAACGTTGTCGGCCTAAGGATTAATTACTTCCCCATTCTGTTTTCTATATAAATGTGTTTATTAATCATATATTTCACTCACTTAATCTATTACACTTTAATGATTCACCTTAGCACTTTTACTTTTCTAAAGCAGCTCTCAATCCCTTGTGAACCTTGTACTTACCTCAATATTGGTTGGTTATCGTATGCCTACAACCACGGGATGAAAACGAAACGAAGTCGATTTTCCCGCGAAACCTGGAGGACAATTGTACAATTCAATAACTATACAGCCTAGTTCAGACAATGTGTATTTATATATATATCAAATATTTAACTGTTGAAACATTATTAACTTGTAGGCAATTTAAGATTTGACATTATATCATCCTTGATCGTGCCTGTAAAAATGGCATGCATTTTCATGTAAATTTATGTTTATATGAAAATAAATTATTATTATTATTATTCACTGAAAAACCCTGACTGGTGCTGGTACCACAACACCTTTGGCCAAGAAGCGAAAAGTTGACGTGAGCCTTGTAACTTTGGAAATGTCTCAAAGTCTGTGGGAAACTATCCCGCCGGCACGCGTTAGCGGCAACCGTCGCTGGCGGCACTAGCCGCCTACTCTACATCCCTGATGGGATAAGCCAGACTCGATATTTAGTCGACACAGGCGCCGAAGTCAGCATCCTTCCTGCTACAGCAGCAGATCGACAGATGGAGCCTACCTTCAACTTACAGGCTGCAAATGGAAAACCAATTGCAACCGTTGGTAGGAAATACGTCTATCTGAACGTAGGTTTACGCAAAAATATTCGGTGGATTTTCCTTCTCGCTGACGTCACAATGCCCATCATTGGCACGGACCTACCTAATCATCATGATTTACTCATAGACGTCCGCCGAAAACGACTGATTGACAATACTACTGGTCTGTCTATCAAAGGTATCACCTACATAGGCCCCAGCTAGTCACTCGTTAAGATAAAGGCAATTCTTGATCAAACTTTTCAACCTATTGTTGTCAAATATCCGGAACTTAATTGCCTGTCTAACGACCTACCGTGCATAACTAACAATGTTATGCACCACATCATTACCACAGGACAACCTGTGACATCTAAAGCACGACAATTAGCTCCTGACAAACTGAGAATCGCCAGGAATGAATTTGACCATATGCTTACCCTTGGCATCATTCGACCTTCGAATAGCCCTTGGGCATCCCCACTTCACATGGTTCAGAAAAAGGATAGCAATGATTGGCGACCCACCGGTGACTGCCGGCGAGTGAATGCCAAAACAACCTCTGATTGCTAACCGCGGCCTCATATACACGAATAGACGGCAACATTATCTGGCGCGGCTATATTCTCTAAAATTGACTTGGTTAAAGCGTATAACCAAATCCCGATGGCGACAGAAGATATCCCAAATACGGCTATCATTACGCCTTTCGGACTTTTTGAATTTCTACGTATGCCATTCGGTCTCCGGAATGTAGCCCAAACATTCCAACGCTTCATTGATGAAGTATTCCATGGTCTCGATTTTGTATACGCATACTTAGACGACTGTCTCATTGCCAGTTCAGACAAGGAGGCTCACCTTAGACACTTGGACTTGGCATTTGAAAGGTTACGCCGACATGGTGTCATCATTATTATTGAAAAGTGTCAAATGCGCGTTGACTCACTCGACTTCCTGGGTCACACCATTGACTGCAAGGGCGTTCGCCCACTGGCTACTAAGGTCGAGGCTACGCTGAACTTTCCAGTGAAAAGTCTCCGCACTTTTATTTTATTTTTTATTTTTTGATTACATCTTGATTCCAAACCTCATTT